GTCATCAGAGTTCTGCAGTTCCCTACTCCATGATCTCATTTGTATCTGGAGCCGTTCATCCCACGGGATCACACAACTTATTGACAATTGTGCCATGACCAAATCAATAACTTACAGAATCAGAGTTACTTATTCATATAGAGATTTCTGGAATTTAAACAGATTTTTTGCCTATATTTTAAATATGTAAATATTATTATACATAATTCACTTAGATAGCAAATTAACTTGGCTAGTGAGGACAGCTGAAGGTTGATGTTTTTAAGGACAGGTGACTTTTGTGGTCCTCAGCATCCTGGCATTGGCTTAGACACAATGTGAGATGCTCCCGCCTTCCCCAGGTTTCTGATTTCATTTGTGTCTTTATTCTGGCCAGAACCCTTTGGTTTTGAGGCACATCTTTCTCCAGGAGGCTGAATTCAGCACGGAATTGGGGAGAAATGGCAGGGCAAGGAAGGAACTGAGGGACAGCCTCATCCTGTGGCTCCAGGTGTGGAAAGGAAATCCAGGTGAATTCCCTGCTTGTGCCATTCCTCTGGGATTCCTCCAGCTCCCTGAACTACTGTGAAGAGGCTTTAGTGGAAACTGGGAGCAACCAAAAAATGCTCTCCTCAAAGCATTCCCTGCAAGAATTCCAGGTTTAAGTCAGACACAATTTTTCTTTTGCTGGAGGAACAAGTAATTCTGGCAAACACATTTTTAAATACCATTGTGAAAACTCTTATCCCAGCCTGTGTCAACTCCAGCATTAGGGAATGGGAAGAAAGAGAAACCTGAAAGCAGCAGGTCCAAGCTCTTCCTGCTGGGGAGCAGGGCTGGGAGAGAGCTGATGGTTGAGCTTTGACTCAAAATGATCTCTTTTTTTTTTTAATTCTTCATCTTTTAACAGCAATTACACTTCTCTGGGTGCTAATGTATGATTTTGGAAGCCTTGGGAGCTGCTACCAGATCCTGCAACAGGGTTTTTTTTTTTTGGTTTTTTTTGGTTTTTTGAGTCAGATGTGGAATACAGTGTAAATAAACTTTTCAAATGTTCCAGATTACCTCACGTGAAGTTTTTAGGCAGTTTTTACAAGGTTGATGGTGTGGACTTGGAAGATCCTGTGGCAGTTACTGGAGCAGAGTCCAGTGGATCCACGAGCAAACCCCAGCTGTGTCCTTGAAAAGCTCCAGCTGCATCCTCCTCACAGAGCAGGAGCTTTAAAACTCAGAAGTTTCAAATGGTATTTTTGAAAAATATTTGGTGGGGGCGTAGGAACTGGAAGTTTTGTGGCAGGTCTGGACTTAAGGTTCTTTGCAAACACTTTGGGTTTCAGGGGCACATTTGGGAACCTTGTCTGTGTTTTCCACAGTATCAGCCAACACTGCAGAACATGCACAAAATCTTCAATATATTTAGTTTTAACAAATTGAACACAAAGTGGGGACAGTGGCAGGTCAAAGACTAAACCAGTTGGTTCTGCAGCTTATTTTGGGTGTAAAGTGCATTTTCAGCCAGAAAATTCCTGGTTTTCTGTGTTCTTTGTCACCGTTTTTGTGTTTCCTGCACAGCCCAGGCCTGGCCAAGCAGCTTCACTCCAGTGTGACCTTTCCAGGGAAAACTGGTGGTCTTGGACCTTCTTCTTTACTCAAGCCTTTAGATAAATTGTCTGAACAAACATTTTTTTTATCCACTGAAGTAGATTTTAAGTCCAATTCCAGGATTGTCTTTTATTTTTATTCGTGATTGTTCACAAATAAAACAACATGTGAATGAATTCCATCAAATGTGGCAGGTGAAATTCCTGAAATGGCATTTTTTGATTGTGACTGGATTGATCTTTTTTTTTTTTTTTTTTTTTTCCTTTTTTTTTTTTTTTGTTTTTTTTTTTTTTTTTTTTTTTGTTTTTTTTTTTTTTTTTTGCAAGTTCCCTGTGTGCTCCAAATCTCCTAGCACGTTGCATTTCTGTGTGCTGGAGAAGTGCAGGACACAGCCCGTGGGATGAGAGAAGGTTCCAGGGACGCTGCTCAGTTTGGCTTCCCTGAATTCCCCGAGTGCTTTGAGAATTTTCTATCAATCCAGGAAGGATGGAGCTCTGGAATCCCCAAAATTCCAGCTCTGCTCAGGATTTGAGCCTTCCCCAGGTCATTCCTCTGCAGCTGGGGATGATCTTTCCATATTTCTGGGGAGCAAAGCAAAATCCTTCACTCCAGACTTTGGCAGGTGGGCAGGGCTGAATGTTTTGGTGTTTTTCCCAAAAGAAACCAGCCTCTCCTCCAGTGTGACTGCAGCTGCTGGGGTTGCACAGGGCACATTATTCCCTTTTTTCTGCCCCTGGGGTTCCAGCTTAACTGCATTAAAACTGAAAAACTGGGAATTCTTCCCACTGGACTGAAGTGTATTGTGTGTGTCTCGCTGCTTCTGAATCTTCTCTGAGCAAACGCTGTGGGAACGGGGCAGTTTTGTCCTTTTTTGTTAGAATTTGCACTTCATTTCTGGTTTAAATCAAGTCAGCTGTGTCCTACTAACTGTCCTAAAATAATGTTATAAAAACCAGATCAATTTTAGCCCTAGATGCTTTTTTTCTTTTTTTTTTTTTTTTTTTTTTTTTTTTTTTTTTTTTTTTTTTTTTTTTTTTTTGCTTTTATTTCTGTCAACCTCTTTCCCATTGTCCAATCCAGACTCCGGCATTCTGTAATTATGTATAAAGGTTTTATTTATTTAAAATTAGATTAGCTACATTTTTAAATTTAACACCTGGCTGGACAGTGTCCCATTAACGCATTGATTGTGTTTCCTTTGTCTTGTGTTAATAAATATTGATGCCTGGTTGCTTGTTGAGTCCTTCCAGCGCTGTTTCCATGAAGGAATTTTATTTTTAAGGAAGAAAACATGGGTTAAAATTGATCCTGGGCTTAGGGAGAACTTGTAAGTATCTTAAAATTTTTGTATTTTTGTCAGTTGTGTGTGGAGAAGTGTTGGAGCTCTGGGGGTGTGAAGGAGCTGGGCTGGGCAGTGTCCTGCACCTGTAACTTTGGGAATCTGAATTTTTGGGATCAAAGCAGGGAGTGGAGCTGGAGAATCCTGAGGGAGCTGGGAAAGGGGCTCAGCTGGAGAAAAGGGGGATCAGGGGGAATTTCTGGCTTTGCACAACTCCCTGACAGGAGGGGACAGCTGGGGGGTGAGTTTGGGATTTATCCCAGGGAAATCAGGAGGGATTTCCCCATGGAAATTGGAATTACAAATTGGAATTACAAATTGGAATTACAAATTGGAATTATTGCTGCCCAGGGAGGGTTGGAGTGCCCGTCCCTGCAGGTGCCACTCGGTGCTCTGGGAACAAGGTTGGATTCCGTGGCCTCGGAGGGATTTTTCCAGCTCAGGAATTCCCAGATCCTGTAAAAAATCACATTCCTGTCCCTAGAGGTGCTTGGCTGCAGTTGGTGCTTTTCAGGGAACACTGAATTTCCTCTTCTCCCCAGTGATGGCTGAGGAACTGTCCCATGAGGGGAGCCCCCAAATCCTCACTGTTGTGAAAAACGCCAATAATTTGGTTTTTAAAATTTTAGAAGTTTAATAACAATAAAATGGTTATAAAAATAATAATATAATTAGAGTAATAAAGTTTAGAGTTAGGAGAATTACAAGATAATAAAAAGCAAAGAATTATGGATGTCTGGATGCTTTCAGACACTTAAGTCATGAAAAGCATCCCTTGTGAACAAAGGAATCACCTTAAAACAATACACTGCTGCATATTCATATATCCTTCATGGTTATGCATACATTTTATTTAAAACAAGAATTCTGTTGTTTTTTAACTGTTTCCTTTAATCCCCATGTCCCTTCGAGTCTGAGCAAGGCCTGAAGAAATTAACTTCTTCTGATAAGAAAACCATAAATTCCTCTGCTTGGGAAGATTTCGGTGTTCCTCGAAGCGAGCACCTCATTCCTAAAAAGAAAACTGTCCCTACATACACAGGCTCTATTTTACCATTATGTTGTAACCTAAAACTATATTTAACACACCACTTAAGAGAATTAATACAGCATAACTTTCTGACGTGACACATCTAATATTCATTGTAATATTTGCCGAAAGCCAAGCGTAGCAGATGAATTTTCACGCTGTGATCCTAAAACCCTCTGTGGAATAAATAACCCCGAGAGGGGCCGAAGCCCTTTAGTGCCACTTCCTAAAAATCCGCAGGGAGCGGGTGAGGAACGGCCACGGAGACGCGGCCCTGCCGCTGAAACCCGGCTGCACCCGCTGTGCTGGGAGTAGCGGGAATTTCGGGAATTGCAGGATTTGGGGAATTTGGGGGATTTTGGGGGATTTCGGGAATAGCGGGAATATCGGGAATTTGGGGGATTTTTGGGAATTTTGGGGATTTTGGGAATATCGGGAATAGCGGGGATTTTGGGAATAGCGGGAATTTTGGGAATATTGGGAATTTCGGGATTTTTGGGGATTTCGGGAATTTCGGGGATTTTAGGAATATCGGGAATAGCAGGAATTTCGGGATTTTGGGGGATTTTGGGAATTTGGGGAATTTCGGGATTTTTGGGGATTTCGGGGATTTTAGGAATAGCGGGAATTTGGGGAATTTCGGGGTTTTTGGGGATTTCGGGAATTTGGGGAATTTTGGGGATTTTGGGAATTTCGGGATTTTTGGGGATTTCGGGAACTTCGGGGATTTTAGGAATTTTGGGAATTTCGGGGATTTCGGGAATTTCGGGATTTTCGCGGCGCTCCCGCCCCAGAGCGCGGCGCGGCCTCCGGCCGGCGGGGGCGCTGTTGCCGCGCCGTGCCCGCCGGCGGCGCTCCGCCGCTCCGCTCCGTGGCGCGGCCGGGCGGGGCCGGCTCCAGGCGGCCGCTCTAGCCCGGCGCCCGCGCTCCGCGCCGCTGGGGCTCTATGGCGGGGGCCCCTGGGCGCGCACTCTATGGTCGCGGCCCGCCCCCGCCGCCGCCGCCGCTTCCCTGAGGCGGGACCGGGCCGGCAGCGGGGCCGGGACCCGGCGGCGGCTCCGGCGCTCCCCAGGCGCGGCCCCGCGGGGCTCTGAGGTAAGCTCGGGCTCAGGAGGCCGCCCCGTCCCCCCCACCCCACCCCGCTCCCTCGGCCCGCCCGCCGCCGCCGCTTCTCCCCCCGCGCCACCCTCCGCCCCCGCGGGCCGTGAGGGGAGGACGGGCGCAGGCCGCGGCCTCGGCCGCTGCGAAACCGCGGGGAGTTCCCCCCGCCGCCGGGCCTGAGGCGCTGCCCTGCGGCCTGGGGCTGCTGCCGGGCCCGGGGACGGGGGGAAAAAGCTTCTGGGGGTGTCGAGGGGAGCCCCGGGTCCCGCGTCCCCCCGTGTCCCGCTCCCCTCGGGAACGGGGAAAGGGAAAGGTGCTCGGGGGTGAGGAGGGTCCCGCTCCCCTCTGGAACGGGGAAAGGGAAAGGTGCTCTGGGCGTGAGGAGGGTCCCGCTCCCTTCAGGAATGGGGGAAAGGGAAAGGTGCTCAGGGCGTGACGAGGGGAGCCCCAGGTCCCGCTCTCCCCGGGAATGGGGGAAAGGGAAAGGTGCTTTGGGACTGACGAGGGTCCCGCTCCCCTCTGGAACGGGGAAAGGGAAAGGGAAAGGTGCTTTGGGACTGACGAGGGTCCCGCTCCCCCCGGGAATGGGGGAAAGGTGCTCTGGGGGTGAGGAGGGGAGCCCCGAGTCCCCCCGTGTCCCGCTCCCCTCTGGAACAGGGAAAGGGAAAGGGAAAGGTGCTCGGGGGTGAGGAGGGTCCCGCTCCCCTCTGGAACAGGGAAAGGGAAAGGTGCTCGGGGGTGAGGAGGGTCCCGCTC